CTGGGCTGGAGAGATGGCTCAGAGGTTAAGAGCACTGACTGCTCTTCAAGAGGTCCTGAGTTCAATTCCCAGCAACCACATGGTGGCTCACAGCCATCTGTAATGAGATCTGGTGCCCTCTTCTGGCCAGCAAGGATATAGACAGACAGAACACTGTATACATAATAAATAAATAAAATCTTTAAAAAAAAAAGCCAATTCCTGTCTCAAAAAAAAAAAAAAAAAAAAAAAAGAAAAAAAATCAAGTTAAAATGTGAAAGAATAAAATAAGGTTTTTTTTTCCCAACTCTGACAGGAAAGGCTGCAGATATCCATATCAAAGAGGTCCAGTGGAGCTGTAGCCACACCCTTTAATGTTTGTGTCAGAGTTAGGAAAGAAATGATCTCGATCTTTTTTTTTCAGGAGATCTGAAAACTCAAAACAGCGACCAAACACAAATCAAGTAGGAAGAAATGACAGAGAGGCAGGAGGGTGTCAGTGAGTTCAAGGCCAGCCTCACCTACCAAGGACATTCCAGAACTGTTCCCTAGATAAACCCTGTCTCACAAAACCAAACACACACACACACAAACCAGAAGAATAAGGAAAGTGTTCCTGAAACACCACAAACCAACTAGATGTCACTTAATAGCAATCAAAAGTGGGTGAAATATAAAATGGAGAGAAATTCTTTGATGAAGTCCAACCCGCTTTCTTGGTCAAAGCTGTACAGCCAATAGAACTAGAGGGAACATGTGTCCATCTCTCATTAAAAAAAAAAAAGCTAGAATCTCATGTGAGCATAAAAGATGAAAATCTTATGGCTGACGCCATCTAGTCTCAAGTGAGAAAAACTTGAAACGATGCAACAGGAGACAGACAGTCACCCAAAGAACTCTTGCTATTCTCCTGGGGAAGTTTTGCTCCTGGGGGTTTTTGGAACAACTAAAATCCCTCATATATTTTTTTTTGTTTTGTTTTCTGTGCCCCCTCAGAGGACACCTGGATGTTTGAAAGGATTTGGTTTTATTTCATTTAAGTAGAAGGTTCCTCAGACATAACTCTGAAAACACTAATATGTAATAGCCAGTTTCTATTCAGTTCAGATTTTTACCAAAACCTCGTGTCTGGCATGTCTCTGTCTTTGTTGAGTTCCTGTACTTACAGAAGCCAAGAGATAGATGGCAGCCATCCATAACTCTAATTTCATTCAGCAGAACCCCCCCCCCCCC